GCTCGCGCCGAAGTGGCGGACGAAGCTCGCGAACAGCGTCTTCTGCGACACCAGGAACTTGAGTTCGCCCGCCTCGTTCGCGAGCGCCAAGCAGCTGCGGAAAAACGGCGCGAGCGCCGCGTCGCGCGGCGTCGCGTCCGCCGCGCAAATGCGGAAGCCGGGGTACTCCTGCGCGAAGAAACCGGCGTCGCGCGTGACGAACGAGAGGTGGAACTGCGGCACGTCTACGAAGCTGACGCCGCAATGCGCGCGCGACTCGCTGGCCGCGGCGAGGTAGTCGCGCACGTAGCGGACCAGCGCGGCGTGCAAGTGGTAGAGGTGGTGGCAGCGGCAGCAGGTGAACAACTCGATCGAGTCGGCGTGCGCCGTAGTCTCGTGCGCCTGCAGCACACGCGCGAGGCCGGCGAAGAACTCCGCGTCGAAGAGCGCAGCGTGGCCCTCCGGCGCCGCGCTGACGACCAGTTGGTTGGAGTCGACGAACTTGAGCAGCGCCGCGACCTCCGGCACGGACTCGGCGACCGCGCAGTACTCTGCAGAGGGCAGCAGGTTGACCAGCCGACCGTTGCGCGCAAACTGCGCGAAGACGAACGTGTCTGCGTACAGCGCGTCCAGCGCGACGTCCGCCGGGTCCGCATTGAACCAGGTGCAGCGCGGCAGCGTCTCGGCGCGCTTCCAGCCGCAGCAAAACGGCGCGCTCTGGTCGCGCAGCGCGACCGCGAAGAAGTCGGTCGAGTACACGAATGAGAGCGGACAGCAGACGCTGCGCAGCAGCGCCGCGTAGTGCGCGCTGGTCAGCGCGTGTTTCAAGCACACGCGCTCCACGTCGCCGAGCGCGGCGCCGCAGAAGTCGTTGCCGAGCACGCAGCTTTCCAGCGCCTTCAAGCTGAAGGCCAGCGTCGGATGCGCGAGCCAGCAAGTCGCGTCCTGCAGCAGGCAGGCGGGTACGAAGTGCGCGACGCAGCCCGGCGCGAGCAGCTGCGAGCGCTGTGCGCCGAAGCGCTGGGCGAGCACGCAGAGCTGCGCCACGCTCTGCGTGAGCACGTCGCGCGACTCCGCAGCGAGCGCGCGGAGCGTGGCGCCGTAGTGCGGCAGCCAGCGGTTCACCGCGTCGAACGGCGTGGAGAGCTCGCCGAGCCGCAACGTCGTCAGGAAGGACGCGGGCGCGGGAGCCAGCGCGTTGCACTTCTGCGCACCGCGCCAGTCGGCGCCCGCGGCGCGCGCCGCGAGGAACGCGCCGTCGCTTTCGCAGCCGTCGTCTGGCGCTCCGTCGCCGCAGCGCTCCGAAAAGGTGCCGTGCGACAACCCGGAGTCGCTCGTGTAGACGATCGCGCGGTGCACGGCGAAGCCGTCGAAGCGCAACACGAAGCACTGCACCAGCGCAGCGCGCGACTGCGCCACGACTTCGACGAGGTGCTCGAGCGCGAGCGGCGCGTCGGCCGGCAGCGGACGCATCTCCGCGACGCTGCTCGGGCCGGGCTGCTGCAGAAAGAAGTAGTACTGCTCGGTCGCAATGGACGCGCGCAGCGCGCGGTTCTCGTACAGGCGCAGCGCAGCGAAAGGGCTCGCCGCGTGCCAGCGCGCCAGCGCGCTGTCTGGCGGCAGCGCCGCCGGCGAGAAGTCTGTCTGCCGCAAAGCGAACGCGCTCGTGACCTGTACGGCCGGCTTGCCGAGGTAGGCGCAGACTTCCGCGCCCGCGTCGCCGCCTTTGGCGGCCGCGCCTTCGTTGCCGGAGCGGAACATTGCTTTGAAGCCGAACAGCCCCGCGCGTCGCGAGGACGCGGCCGCAGACGCGGGCGCGTCCGCTTCTGGCTTTAGCTCGCGCTCGTGCTTGTACTGCTCGAGGTGGAGACATGCCAGCACTTCCTCGCGCACCGCCGCGCGGACCAGCCGCGCCGGCCGCGCCGCGCGACACAACAGCTCGATCGCATCGTGCACGCCGACGAACGCGCAGTGCGCGAAGTCTGGGGTCGCGCTCAGCGCGACGCAGCGCGCGTCCGAAATCTGCGCGCTGCGCAACAGCGGCGCGACAGTGCTCGCAAAGTCTGCGTTGCGCTGCACGAGGTCGGGCACGCGGATGAGCCCTTTGTCGAGTAACTCGAGCGCGCCGAGCTGAAAGTCAATCGTGACCGAGGCGCCTTCGGAAAGGCGACACACGCGCAAGCACAGCCGCGCGCCAGCGCCCGCCAGCTTCTCGGCTGCGTCCGGCGCGATCTCCCAGCCGCCGAAAGTCGCTGCGGCCGCGGCCTGCGCAGACTGATGCCCGAAGCTCTTGCCGCTCCAAGTGGAGCGCTCGACGATGCGGTCGCACAGCAAGTCGCGCAACTCGCGGTCCGCAAGCCAGGCTGGAATGCACGTCTCGGCCACGTCGTAGTAGATACGGAACAGCGCGTCTTTCTCGAGAAAGCGCTCCGCCGCCGCGGCGCGCGGCTCGGAGCTCAGCGGCGCGTCGGCCGGCGCCGCGTTCTCGCCGTCGCTAAACAGCGCGTCGTCTTCCTCGAGCACCAGTAGTCTGCGCTGCGCGACCGAAAGCTCGTCGTTCAGCAGAAAGAACAGCGCCGAGACGAAGTCGACGAATTCTTCGCACGACAAAGCCTCCGCCAGCGGCGCCGCCGCCGCTGCGGTGGGCGCCGCGGCCGCGTCGGCGGCGTCCAGCAAATCGGAAATTTCGCCTAGCGTCGCGCAACGCTGCGGCGCGAGGTGCATCGGCGAGCGCGCCGCGGCGCGCTCGGCGCTGCGCGAAACCCACTGGCTGTAGTAAATCATCACGAGCATCTCGCAGCAGATAACCGCAGCGTCTACGTCGAGGTCGGAGCAGCGCGCCAGTACTCCACGCACGGCGTGCGCCACGTCACCCGTCAAGCAGTTCGTCAGCTCGGCCACGCCGCGCAGCAGCCCCGGCGCGCGCTCCTCCAGCGCCTGCAGGCAAGTCGCGCTCCAGAACTTCAGTGCGCTGCGCGCGGCGCAGAGCTGCACTACGAACGCGACGACTTGCGCCGCAAGCGACGCAACGTGCGCCACGCTGCGCAGGCCCTCGTTCGCGGCGAGGTCTGCACTGCCGTTTTCGAGCTCCAGCGTGCGCAACAGCAAGCCCTTCAGCGCGAGTAGAAACAGCTCGCCGCTCGCGCCGAGCGTGTTGAGCAGCGCGTTGCTGTGGCCCGCGTTCGCCGCGCGCCACAGTCGCGTGTCGCGCACGTCCAGCGGGCCCGCCGAGAGCGGGTAACTCTCGTCGGTGCTCGGCAGCGCGAGCGCGTCGGCGTCGCGGCAGCCGACGGCGCCGTTGACGAAAAACGAGTGCGCCGTCAAGTCGCGGACGGCGCTCGCCATCAGCGCTTTCGGGTGTTGCCGCAGGAAGCGCGTCAGTAAGTCTGCGCGCAAGAACTCGTTGCCGAGAATCGCGAGCAGCTGCTCGCCGAGCGTGCAGCTGTCGGCTGCGGCAAAGTGCGGGACGACGCGCGCGTTGAGCACGGCTTCGTCGCGGAGCGACCCGACGCACTCAGCGCGCTTCGCTGCCCGTTTTGCGGCGGCGAAAGCTTCCTCCGCGCTCTCGACGAGCGCGTTGCGCTGGTCGAGGAAACAAAGCTGCTCCTCACCGAGCGCGCGGTAGTGCAGCACGGCTTTGTAGCACGCTGGCAGCGCAAGCACGCCGGCGACGGGCGCGAAGTCCGGCGCGGCAGTATCTTGGCTGAAAACGTCGAGAAAGCCGAGCCAGTCTTTGCCGCGCTGCAGCAACCCGCTCAAGGAGCGCAAGCCGGGTTTGGTTTTCTGCGCGACGCTGTTCTCGTCGAGCAGCCCGAAGCTGAAGGGCTCGTACGCGCAGCCGTCGCCGCCCCGCGGGCGCCCGAGCAGCGCGGCGCCGCGCGCGGCGCTCTGCCAAACCTCTCGCGCCTGCAACGCGGGTCCGGCGGCGCTGCGGGTCGAGAGCTCGCCGTCTGCGCCGCTCGCGGCGTCGCTGAGCAGTTGGAGCGCGCGGGCGCACCGGCGGCGCTTCAGCAAGCGCTCGAGCGCCTTGCTACGCAAACCGAAGTACTTGACGCGCATGGCGACCCCGCCGTCTTCCGCGGCTTTGTAGAGCACGGCGGGGCGCCGGAGCGAGTGCCGCACGTGGCCGAGTTCGCCGCCGGCGACGGCCTTGCCGAAGCTCGCGCAGTTCTCGACGAGGCCGGCGGCTACGGCGAGCACGAACTTGGTGCCGAGCGCGATATCGCGCAGGTCGAAAAAGAACTGCGCGAATCCGGCAAACGCGTCGAAGTAGGAGGTGCTCAGCGCGGAGGCGCCGACGCCCGCGTCGGGCAACTGCGGTGCGCTGCCATTCGCGAAGAGGCTCTGGCGCACCTGCGCGCTGCTAAGGTCGCACAGCCGGCCGAGTTGGTCGAGGAAGTGCAAGTCGTGCGCTGAGAGCGTGAGTCCGCACTGCTCGAAGTCGAAGATGGAGTAGTCAGCGGAGTCCGCGCCCGTGGCCAGTTCGAGCGTCTCCGCGGCCACGCTGAGCAGGTGCGACTGCGTCACGTGCAACGTTTCCAGCAACTCAGCAAAGCCGTGGAACTGCACGAGCGCGCGGCGCTCGGTCGCTGTGGCGCGCGGCGCGGCGCAGAAGAGTCTCGCGAAGACGAAGTCGCGCTCTTCGGCGGCGGTGAGCGTGCGCCAGAAGTCGAGAAAGAGCGCGAGCTGGTTCAGCGCGAGCGCGCTCGCGAGGCTCAGCGCGCGCGGCGAGAGGTACTCTGGCGTGGCTTCGAGCGCGCTGATGAGCAGGCACAGCCCGGCGTCGAGGTGGTGTCGCGAGACGGAGAAGAGCAGGCGCAGTCGCGTCTCAGCGTCGGGCGGGCAGCGCAGCGAGTGCGGCGCGGCGACGCTGCGGCGCACGAAGTTGTGGATCAGCGCGAGTTTCTGCGCCTTGTAGCTGCCGCGGCTCTGGTTTTCGAGCATCTGCAGATTGAATGCGAGCGTCTGCAAGTTGCGCAGCGACGTGAGAACGTCGAGGTGCAGCGCCGGCTGCAGCTGCGTCAGCCTGTAGTTCGACTGGAAAAAGACAGGGAAAGTCAGCAAACCGTTGCTCGAGTTGCGTGACAGCGCAGAGAAGGTCCGCGGCTGCGCGCGAGGCGGCTGCGTCGGTTCTTCTGCGTTTTGGTCCACAGCTTCCATTTCCTTTTCAGCCGCGTTTGTCGCCGCGTTTGTCGCCGCGTTTACCGCCGCGCTTACCGCCGCGTCATTGCCCGCGCAGCGCGCCGCAGCGACAGGGTCGGAGCACCGCTGCAGATACTCGAGGAAGGCGCGGAGCAGCGCAGCGTGCGCCAGCGGCAACCGTTCGCAGTGCAAGCGCAGCGCGTCCGCGGGCGAGCCGAGCGCGCCGGCGAGGCCCGCAGCGTCGCCGGCGCGGACCCAGCCGAGTTCGGCGGCTGCGCGCGCAAAGAAGTGGCGCAGCAGCCGCACCACGCTCCGCTCGAAGCGTGAGAGGCGCTCGGAGTCGAGCGTGAGCAGCGCGTCCTCTGCGACGCAGTGTTGCAGGAAGCAGAGCGCGACGGAGCGCTGCAGCAGCAGCTCGGCCGCGGAGACCGCGCGGCGACAGAAGTGGCCGGCGCGCGCGAGCAGCGGGTGCGGCACGGCGACGTAGGCGCGCGTCGCGACGAAGGGCAGCAGCCGCGTGTAGAGCGCGGGCCAGACCGCCGCGGGCGGGCCGAGCAGCAGGGCGTAGAGCAGCACCCAGAAGACCGGACTCAGCGGGTCCGCGGTCTTGGCGCGCCAGAAAGAGCAGAACGCGTGCTCGAGCCCGCACGCGCCGAAGCGCTCGCGAAACTTCTCAGAGGCCGCGTCGCAGTGGCAGAGCGCGAGCAACGGCGCCGTTGTGGCGTCGCACTGCGCGAGCAGCGCGAACTCCGCAGCGCCGCAGGGCGTCGCGCAAAGCACGACGGCCGCGCCCGCGGCGCGCGCCGCGAAAAAGCTGCGCACGGCGCGCACTTCGGCGAGACACGGCGTGCCGGCGCGCGCAGCGGCGTGCGGGCGGAAAACGTGCGGCGCCGCGAGCGCGGCCGCGACCTCCGCGGCCGCGAACTCCGCGTCCGTGGACGCGGCGCCGGCGAACAGAGCGCCGAGCAGCGCGCCGGCCGGCTCACCGGCGCGCACGAGCGCGCTCGGCCGCGCCGCTTCGCGCGCGTGCAAAAAGAGCGTCACGGCGGTAGCCGCTGACATGGAGCTGCGATTTAAATTTCGCGAAATTGCGCTGCGGAGCGGCGCGCCGCGTGTCGCAGCCGCGCTGCATGCGCACATTAATCTCAGGAGAATTGAATTAAGATGGTTGCGCAGGCATCGCTTTGTGGAGTGAGGTACCGTAAGTGTTGCACGCCGCGCCGCAGCCGCGCGCTACGAGCCGCCTCAGTTGGCGCCGCCGCGCTCGCTGCATTTTTTGCGCGAACGGCTGCGCGACAACCGCGGCCGCGCGGTCGACCCGTCACGGCTGCGCGGGATGTCGGTCGCGTTTCTGTTCGGCATGAACGAGTTGGTGAAGTTCCGCACCGCGGTGCAGCTACTCGCGCAGTTCTACCGCACCGTGAACGAGGCGAGCCACCGGCAGAAGCTCGAGATCATCTACGTGCCACTGGACGGCGAGGGCGTGGAAACCAACGCGCTGGTCCGCAGCATGCCGTGGCTGACGGTCGACCCGCTGCCCTCTGTGTTGCAGCTGTTGGTCGACAAGTTCGGCGTGCGCTGCGCGGGCTCGCCGTTCGCGCCGCGCGCGGGCGGGAGTTGCGCGGCGCCGAGTTTGATCGTCGTCGGCCCCGGCGGGCACGCGCTGCGCACGCTGCGGCTCGACGAACAGGTCACCCAACTCGCGCGCGAGCTGGACCGGTGGGACTACGCGCACAACGCGCTAGAGTAGCATGCATGCATTTAGAGCGGCAGCTCGATCTGCGCGGCCTCCGGGAAGGCCGCGCTGAGCAAGCCGCGGCGCGAGGCGAGCTTCGCGATGACGCCGTCGGAGACGAGCAGTCCCTGCTCTTCGAGCTCGCGGTATTCCTCCTTCTCGAAGCGCGTGAAGCCCCACTTCGTCGAGACGAAGATGCGCTGGCGCCCGGGGAACTTGTACTTCGCGCGCTGCAGCGCCTGCTCGGCGGCGGCGATCCTGTCCTCGCGGCAGCGGATGGACATCAGCACCTGCCCGATGTTCACGCGCGCCACGACGCCGTTCGGCTTGCCGAACGCGCCGCGCATGCCCGTCTGCAGACGGTCCGCGCCCGCGCAGGAAAGCATCTTGTTGATGCGGATGACGTGGTACGGGTGCGCGCGCACGCGCAGGTGGTAGCCTTCGCGGCCGAGCGTCTTAATCAGGTGGCGGTTCGCGGCCACGCGCGCAGCCTCCAGCGCTTCCGAAGAGATTTGCTCGTACTCGTACGAGACCAGGTGAATCACGCCAGGAAACTCTGAGACGTCCGCCTTTTTGCGGCCCGCGTCGAACATCTTGATTTTCGGCTCCGGCACGCCGCGGCAAAAACGCGACTTCGGGTACGGCTTGTTCTTGCAGTAGCGGTAGCAGCGAGCAGGTCGTCGAGCCATCTTCAATTATTCGAAAATAATAAACGGTAATTCCGTTAGGCCGCGCCGCGCGCAGCCGCCGCCGCGGAACGCGTGCGGGCGCGCGGCACACCGCGCCTAGCTCCAAACAGCCGTGTCCTCGCCGTGGCGGCCGCCAAGACGAAACAGATTTTTTAAATTTAAATTTCTTTCTGCCGATGAAGCTGAACATTTCGTACCCGGAGACGGGCAAGGTTTTGACCGTAGAAGTCGACGACGAGAAGCGGCTGGTGCCCTTCTACGAGAAGCGGCTCGGCAACGAAGTGCCCGCGGACTCGATCGGCGAGGAGTGGCAGGGCTACCTGCTGCGCATCACCGGCGGCAACGACAAGCAGGGCTTCCCGATGCTGCAGGGCGTCTTCTGCAACCACCGCGTGCGGCTGCTGATGCGCAAGGGCATGAAGTGCTTCCGCGAGCGCCGCAAAGGCTGCCCGAAGCGCAAGTCCGTGCGCGGCTGCATCGTCGCCTCAGACATTTCCGCGCTGAACCTGTGCGTCGTCGAGAAGGGCGCCGCGGACATCGCGGGGCTGACGGACGAGGCGCGCGTCAACCGGCTCGGCCCGAAGCGCGCGAACCACATTCGCAAGACCTTCGACCTGCCGAAGTCCGCAGACGTGCGCAAGTTCGTGGTGCGCCGCCAGATCAACGAGAAAACCAGCAAGGCGCCGAAGATTCAGCGCTTGGTCACCGCGGAGCGGCTCGCGCGCAAGCAGAAGTACCGTGCTGAGCTCGCGGAGCGCTCGCGCCGCTCGCAGGAGGCGGCCGCCGAGTACAAGCAGGTGATAAAGGCGTACAAGGCCCAGAAGCTCGCCGCGCAGGCGGCGTAGCGCGATTTACCGCGTAATTATGCGAAAGTAAATTTACACAGCGTAAATGTACCGAGCTCTGCTGGTTAAGTGGGCGTCCAGCTTGCCGCCGACGACTGCCGCTTGCGCGGCGGCCAGCGCGGCGCTGCAGCTCGCGCTGACGCTGCGGCTGCTGCGCTTTGATCAGCTGATGTTCGAGCCGCGGCTCGCCATGCGCCGGCTGCAGCTGTGGCGGTTTGCGACGAGCGCGCTGCTGCCCGGCACTCTGCTCAACGCGCTGTTTTCGCTGCTCTTCCTGACCCGCGCTTCGGCGCGGCTCGAGCGCAGCAGACACTTCTCGCCGCACGCGGGGCTCTTCCTGCTCGCAACGCTGCTCACTTTCGTGGCGATTGCCGCCGCGGGCGTCGCGACGGCGCCGCCCAACGGCGACCCGTACCTGCACGCGGCATACCGCAGCGCGCTGCTGATGATGGAAAGCCGGCTAGATCCGGACGCGCTGCTCACGGTCTACGGGCTGCCGATGCCCGCGAAGTACTACCCGCTCGCGGCGCTCGCGCTGGACGTCGCGCTCGGCGGCAACCCGCGGCACTCGCTGCTTGGCTTCGCGGTCGGCTTCGCCGTTTTCTCGCAACTCGACGCGCTGCGCTCCGCAGCGAGCGGCACGCTGCTGCCGCTCGCGGCGCGCACGGAAGCCGCGCTGAACCGCGCGCAGCGCACGCTCGGCCACGCCTGCGACACGTACGTGCTGCAGAGCACCGCGTTCGACGCGCTGCGCCGCCATGCGACTGCGCCCGCGCGCTTCACCGGCCGCGGCCGCGTGCTTGGCAAACCCAAGGCGCAGTGAGCGCCGCGGCTGCTCTGAGCAACCGCGCCAACCGCGGCTCCGCGAACAGTCACCAACCGACGTGCAGCAAGCGCCGGCCAACTGCCGCCGCGGCTGGTGGCAAGACGACGGCGCAGCCGCCGCGCGCGTCGTTCTCTAGCGGCGTGCGCCAGCATCGCACGCCGCTGTCGCACACATGACAGTTTTACAATTAAAGTGGGCGCGGAAGGCCGAGCGCAATGCGCTGGCGATGCTGCACACCGGCTCTCCAAAACGGTGCAAGCCCAGCGACTTTTACACGGCTAGCCGCGACAACATGAGCACTGTGTCGCCGCGCAGAAACAACTGCGCGCACTGCCGCTCCGCGACGACCTCCTGCAACTCTTCGCCGACCACTGCCATCCGACTGCGCACCTCTGCGACGTCCGCCAGCAGCAAATTCAGGTGCGCGTCGTAAACCTGGAGAATCCCGGTGTACGTCCGCGAACTCTTGCACTTTACCCAGACTTTGCTGCCCGTGCACACCGCCAAGTAGTCCACCGGCTCTGCTTGCGCGCACGCGTCACCTACTTTTAATCAGCGCGGAGATTTCCATTTTCCGTTTTAATTAGCCGCGAATTTCGCCGCCGCAGTCGTGTACGCACCGCAGCTCGACCTTCGCCAGACGCGCTGTTTGCTCGCGCGGCCGCTCGGCGCGCTCCAGCTGCGTGTCTGCAGCAGCCTGCCCGCCGTGCAAGTCGCCGCGCTCGAGCGCCTCGTCCGGCAGAACATGCAGTCGCTCTACGACGCGAACGCGCGCAGACCCGAGCAGCGCTACGACTCCGCGCAAAAGCTCGCCGAACTACAGTGGGAGGGGCACTTTTGGCTGCTGCTCGACGCCAGCGACCGCGTAGTCGCCTTTGCGAAGGTGCTGACCGACTGGTACGTTGAGATAGACGGCAGCGAAATCCGTACCGCGTGGATTCTCGAGTTTCAGTGCGCCGTCCCGCGTCGCGGGTTTGGCTCGCTGCTGTTGCAGACGCTCATCGAGCACTACGCGGAACCGTTGGGACTTTGCTACCAACTCACCAACGCCGGCGTATTTCGATTTTATAATAAATTTGGTTTCACCAAGTTCTCTGAAGACGACGGTATCGTCGAGCTCATCCGGCGCAAGCCCGACAGTCTGCGCTCTGCCTGATTTCACAGCAGCCCCGAGCGCGCGTGTCGATCTGTGCGCCTGATCGCCCTATGAAACTTCTCCCGAGCGATGAGCTCGAGTCTGGCGAAGAGCTCGAGCTCTTTGCGACAGCGCCGAGCAGCGAGTGCGCTGAGTGCAAAGCGACCTGCGCCAAATACAGCTGTCCAACTTGTCGAGCTGCCCTTTGCAGCAGCGACTGCAGCAAAACGCACAAAGCTCGGCACGTCTTCGACAGCGGCGCTGCTGCCGAGCACGCGGTGAGCGTGGCGGACACTTGCAGCTTCGAGTCGGATAGAAAGTTCTTCACAAAGATTGCCGAGGTGCTAGAGTCCGGCTCGCCCTACACGCAGCCGCTCTCGGCAGTCCACGACAAGCTTTTTCCGCAGTTGGAAACTGCCTTCCTCCCAAAAGCTGCGCAGCTTGCGAGCGCCAAACTGAAAAAGCGAGCGCAGAGTCTCGGAATTCTGTTCCGCACTGCGCCGTTCATGACGGAGCTGCACCGCTGTAACACTTCGCGAGCTTGTCGAAAGTATAAAAACGTGATCCGCTGGAAACTAGATCTGCAGTTTAACCATGCAACATTTACGCACCGCGCCGTGTCAAGCGATCGCAGCATTGCCGATGTCATCGATCAGTTGCTCACCGACTTGCTGCCAGCCGATTGGCAGCGCAGCTACCGCTTGCTGTTTCCAGACGAGTCGCTGCCGTCTAACGCGCGCGGGTTTTACGCCGTCGATCCCGCTGCGAATCTGAACACGTTTCTGCCCGGACTAATCGTAACCGAGCACGTGACACTGCAATTGGTGCCAAACGAGACGTGTTCTTTCGAGCCTCACAAGTGTCGTTGCGCAGCCGCCGCCGTCGACGTGCCTTTTTGGGCCCAGCAGAGCGGCCTCGTTCGAGGCAACTACTTGGCGAGCTATGAGAACCGATGTGTGCACGCCAAGATCGACCTTCCTGACTACACAGCGTTCACCGTGCTGAACCCAAATCAAGTCAACGTACTTGAATTTGCAGCTGCATCCGGTGGCTCAGAGACGGATGAAAACGAAGGAGTCAAGTTTCCAGTCAAGTTCGAATAGTTGGCGGTTCGGTAAACGGTAACCGCACTTCCGTGGTTTTACAACAACCGTTTCTATTGCAATTCAAATTTTTGCGAACTGTAGCAGCAAAAACGCTGCAACAAACAACAGCAACGGCCTTGTGAAGTTTTTAGTATACACAAAGTGACAGTGATCTAAACTCAGTATCTTCTCTAAACTAAAAAACATGATAATTGAATCGTCAGTTGCAAGCGCGTCATTACTCGAAAGCGCCCTTCTGGTGAAACTTTTGCTGAGTGAAAGACGAACTGTAGAGTCCGGATTGTCTTGATAACGCGATGCCTTTGAAGTGCCGAACTGCGCTCCAGCATTCTGTACTGCACGCTGCTTCGATATGGTGTTCGATGGCAAGGGCCTATCGATTTGAAGCTTGGCGCGCAAATCATAGTAGGTCAGCGGATTAAGCAATGACATTAGAATAAACGATGACAACTCGAGCTTTGCTCGCATATTTTTCTCAGCGGGATTGATAAAAAGCTCAGCACCGCGATCTAGCACAGATTCCAAATCCTTCTTTTGCCTCACCTGACAGATAGCAACATATCGATGGCGAGGACTGTCTAATGTAAGCCAGTTCTGCGCTGAATAAAGCCTGAGAAGTACTGCTAAAGTGCTACATATCTGCTTTCTGCCGCTTGGAATTCGCTCGAATGTAACGGGAGTGTATGGAAGGCTGCTACCTCCTTTCTGAGCGAAAATATATGCAAGAATACCTCTGCTTGTTTTACTATAGTGAGCCAAAGTCATGGTTGCGTATGGATAGCTGTGCGTAGTGTCGTTATATACGCTTCGTGATATCAGGTGATCGCTAATAATTGCTAGAAAGATCTCGGTAATTGCAAGGATGAGCTTGTGAGTCCGTAATACTAGAAAAGTGATCACGTATTTCTCTGAATTTCTGTAATCTGATGTCTGTCCATATAATATAAAATGAGCATCATAAGTCATGTTAGCAAAGCCAAATGGCCTATTTACAGATTGCATTAAGCGGGAGTCTGGCTTCCTGCAATAAGGCGAGAGTTTGAGTGAAACAGCTGGCGAGTTTCTTATTTTCTGGCTGTTCACATGTCTGACCGTTAAAGCTAGCGAATGGTCAGTAGACAGCACAGGGCATTGAAGAGGTAAAACACAACTGTTGCTTTTCAGAGCACGGTTAACCTTTACGTTGTCACTGAGGCAGCCGACAGATTTTTCTACCAATCTGTGACTGTTTATCAGCAACATAATTTTTTTTTTAACGCTAACTAAGTAGGATGGAGATCTAACTAAATAAAATAGCTCCTGTTGTGGTTCTTGTTCATGGCTTGTTTTAGCAATATCAAAGGGTTTAAAACCCTCACCTAGACGTGAATTATGCAATGCTTTTCTACTTGTTCCTAACTGTTTGTCTAAGTTGGAATAACTCTGCTTTGAAACTGACCGAGTCGCGGTACGACTCGCAAGAGGCGGCAAGAACGTTTCACCTGTTCCACTGAGCAATATGCTGCACTGCAAATCTCGAATTGAGCCGATGTCGTAGTGCAAAGGTACGAAAAAGCGTCTCGTAGTATCAGTATAGCTGAAAAAATGGATGAGTCGTATCGGGTGAGTGAGACGCACGTACCTCGTTGCTGCTATCAAAGCCAGAAGTCTGTAATTCAACCCGCTAAGTGTACTATGCTCAGAGTTAGTTCGAAGGCTCCGTTGTGCGAACCGGTGGCGAAGCGAAATTCTTCGCACCGAGGCACAATTCAATGCAGTCTGCTGAGTGTTCGCATCGTTGTCTTGACCAGTATATGTTTTTCTTGGTTTCGGACGTTCAAGACGAAGCTCAGACTCCTCGACTGTTATGGTAGACTTAGCAGAACGCGCTGGAAGATGTTGAGGTGTTCTGTCCAAATCTAGTTGTGGTTCGTCGAGCTTACAGCGATCAATG